GGGCAAAGAGGCGGGAGCTGGTTGCTGAAACCACGCCCACCTAGCTCGACGCCGGTGACGGCAGCGGCAATCCACCTGTCACTCAATTACAACGCCCTTAATTATGCAGAACATTAAGGTTTAATATAATTTAAATGGATGAGTTATAAAAAAAATTCACCCCCCCTCAAGCATTCAGTTGCTGCTGTGTTCACACTGCACGATGGATCGGCGACGGGGTTTCACATTGCATGACTTCACAATAGGAAGAATCGCCGACAGCTCTGTCTGGTCTGCAAACTACGTTTCACAACAAAACACACGTGAGAAGTTATAAGGAAATAACGCGAGAACCCAGACCGGAGTTCTCGAACGAGACTGGAATTATTAAAAAAATATAGGCTATATAGACCGCAAATTGTCTGTGAGCTGATTTCCAGCTACAAGGAGAAAAAGATAGAAATAGGCTATATTACATATTGTAATATTATATAATGTTGTGCGCTATCTGTCACGCCCACTGAAGGCTCGTCAGTAGATCACACGTGCAGAACAGGTTATCTTCAGAGAGCAAGTTACTATGGTTACATACCCTGAAAGTTACCTCCGATTTTGGAACCGCTGGCTTATCCTCAAACATACCCGGGTATGTCACATAACCTACTTTTTGTAATACCCCCCTGAAGATTGCCGCTTGTCAATAACCCATAAAAAAAAACATTACATCAACCAATAATTGTTGCACTTCCACTTTCTGACGCTAGTGGGTAACACTTCTGTTATTAAGCAGGAGTTTTGATAGTTTATGTGAAGACTAGCATAATAATGTAGTGATATAACGGGTAAGGATTGTTGTTATGCTCTTAATGGACATACGTTCATCAAGCTGAGGTACTTTACCTTCATTGGCCCCTTTTCTCAACTGCTTGTAGTTCGACGCCTGCTGCACCAGGTCCAGGATGGTTTTGGAGAGCGTGGCGTCTGCCAGAGGATAGGCTTTCGGATTCACTTCAGCTTCAGTCTGTGTAAAAAGGAGGACAGACAAAAGAGCAAAGCGTTATCAGCAAGACACTCAACCACATTAAGTTAACCAAACGACACTGATTATCTGGTCAACGTTATGTCTGATAACACGGTTTTCTGATCTACAACTGAAATGCTTTAAAAACATTCAAATAAGACCCAATGTATAAATACTTTTACAATTCCGGCAGGCAACATTAAAATAGCTACACGTTGAATGCAGTGAAGCAACATCCTAAACTAGTAAGTCCCACGCGTATACGTTACTCACCATTGTGTTTGTTGTGATTTGGCCGGTGACTAACTTATAAACACACGGGTCCTCTCGGCAAGAGCTTCACGGAGGACAGTACTATTTAACTAAACAGAAAATGTATAGAGTTTAGCAAATAAACAAACGAAATCGCTCTAATGGCCAGCGAAGCTTTGGGATCTTCACTACTACCGCCACTCGCAACACGTGTTTGTGGTCGATACACTGCGCATGCTCACATTCAACCCACTTCCGGTAGTCTTTTTTATCTTTTTAAAAACAATTACATTTAATCTTAAAGACATTCCTTATGTGATGTTAAATATTATGAAGAATATTTAAAAAGAATAAAAATATTGTTATTGCAAAAATCGGAATTTTGAAGTTCTAAATTCGGGAAAGCATACTAGCATACTATTTCATTAAGAGTAGTGTGTTAGTATGCGGCGAAACAAATAAAAATTACGCTTTTTTTTTGTTTCGTTTTAATAAAATATATTTTCCTAATTCAGCACTGGTTTCGGAAAAATCTCGATGTTTCGTCGCAAGACCGTCTTGTGTCTAAAGTTAATGGTTTTAACCGATCTCGAGTCAGTTTTTGTAACGTTAGATGAATAATTAATTAATTTAACGAATTTTAATAAACGTGATATAATGAAAAGTGAGATCTAGAGTTAAGATCCTATTAAGAGCCAATACTGTCTAAAACATAAAACAAGCACTGCAAATTAATAAAATAACAAAAACTAAACAGTGGTCATATCAAATGATATTTAACGATTTGTAGATTACATTTAGTAGATTACACTTTCGTAAAAACATTCGTAAAAAGCGTCTTCATGCACTTTTAAGACTTGCTCACTTTGTGTTTATATGCAGTGGTGTAAATCAAAAATTAAAACACTAATTTTGAATAATTTCAACGTACGCAAACTCCGAGTCGCCATGTGGCAGTATGCACCTGTGCTTCATTTTAGTTTCGACGTAGAGAAGCAGAGAGTGAAGGATTTTGGGTAGGACATCCTTAGGTCAGCCATATTGCGGTGGTCCGTCTGAAGGAGAGAGAGAAGATGAGGGGGATCCGGGGAATAAGCCAGTTATCGGTGAGAACTTGATTAACGGGGTTAAAGATGACTAGTAGAGGTTCTGCTGCATGGTTCTGTGTTGTTTTGTACGAGTGCTCTCTAGATAGGACAGATGCTGGCCTTGTTCTCATACAACCAAGCTAGACAAGAGATATAGTTGACAGTTCAGCTGTGTGTGTCATTTCATTGCATTCCTCGTTTTATCCATGTTTTGAATGCAGTTAACTTATATAGAGCAGCGATTCTTAGTCTTTATGCCACAGCACCTATCCTAACATTTAAAAGGGATCTATATAGTTTGTTGTATAAAGGCTGTGAAATAATAATGGCCATAAATACAGGTGCATCTCAAAAAATTAGAATATCGTGAAAAAGTTCATTTTTTTTTAATTTATTTCAAAAAGTGAAACTTTCATATATTCTAGATTCATTACATGTAAAGTAAAACATTTCAAAGTTGTAGTTTTTTTGTTTTAATTTTGATGATTAGAGTTTACAGCTGATGAAAGTTAAAAATCCAGTATCTCAAAATATTATAATATTTAAATTTGTGTTTCATTAAATGACCATCCCTACAGTATAAATTCTGGGTATCTCTTGTTCTTTGAAACCACAATAATGGGGAGGACTGCTGACTTGGCAATGGTCCATAAGACAATCATTGACACCCTCCACAAAGAGGGTAAGTCACAGAAGGTCATTACCGAAAGGGGTGGCTGTGAGCCACTTCTGAAACAGAAACGGTGTCAAAAGCATCTTACCTGGGCTAAGGAGACAAAGAACTGGACTGTTGCTCAGTGGTCCAAAGTCCTCTTTTCAGATAAAAGTAAATTTTTCATTTAATTTGGATAATCAAGGTCTGGAGGAAGACTGGAGAGGCACAGAATCTAAGCTGCTTGAAGTCCTGTGTGAAGTTTCTAAAGGCAGAGATGATTTGGGGTGCTGTGACGTCTGCTGGTGTTGGTCTATTGTGTTTTATCAAGTCCAAAGTCAATGCAGCCGTCTACCAGGAGATTTTGGAGCACTTTATGCTTCCATCTGCTGACAAGCTTTATGGAGATGC